TTTCATAATATCAATAAGACGTAGTCTTGTGTGTATAGAATATCAATTGCTTAATGAATTACTTTCCAATCTTGCAAAGTTGTCTTTTTCAAAAGACCGAAAATCGACAAATGAAGTAACGTTCCCAATTGTCTAATTGTTTTTTGCTTGATCTTTCGAGCCTCACTTATTGATTTATAGGTGTTTCACTCAATTTTAACCCTATGAGCATAGAATCATTACGATCCGGAACGATCATAGATAAGCTTTATAACCACTAGAAAGTCCTCAAAATTTGAACTATGACAACCATGTCCATATCGAGATATGAGCTGGTTATAGAAAAGTCTTTCTTTTGGAAACCAGACACAACAGGAGTTAATTTTAAATGTAAATACAGTGGTAGCAAAAGCCTTGCTACAAGGTAAAAAGTACCTAAACTTTAATCTTTTACTCTTATGAATTTAGACAACAAATAGAATATATTAAACTCTGATCGCAAGAACTAATCAGGACTTGATCGATCTTCATGCGGAGGAGTTAGACGATCAACATAGATTTTTATTCAGTGGAGATACCTCAATATAGAAAATAAATCTCATGACGTCAGAAGAGCTTACTATTATCTTTATCACCCATAAAAATTCCATATCAAATAGTTTTAGTTTGTCTGATTTAGGGAATATTCTTTGGATAATTTCCACATGAGAGTTGATGGGAATCATCGAAAAGTGACCGATATCTTCGGCTAATTTTAACTCTTTACCTTGAAAATTTCACGATCTCAGTCATCAACCGAGAAGAGATCCATGCTGAAATCGTTCCAGACAATGAAGGCTTTCCTACGCCTCAAGGTTACAGTGGATTGAAGTACCTTATCTGTGACACAATATAGACATACGAATCTTTATTTGTTAATACGAAAATGAAGGTAATAGTGAAGAACCAGCCCTTTTTGTAGTCACAACATTAGACCAAAGAATTGAAGTTTATGTACTTTTTGCCTGACAGCAGAACTTCTTGCGACTATAAAGTCTATCTACGGACGAAAATCGAGTACAACATCTATCACTCAACAATTGAAGATAAAAAAACCAAACCAAAACAGAATTTTTTTTTACGACTTATGATCTATAGTTTCAAGTGATCAGAATGTTCTCTTGTAAATTTAATAGATTGCAAATCCGAAATATTTTTTTTTACAATTATGCATCAATCTCTTTTATTTCATATATATATATCAATATAAGACAACAAATCAAGAAGATAGATATCGTTGTAAAGCTTTGATCAATATGATTTACTTTTTTTTCTCGGTATCGAGTACAAAACATGACATATACAAACATAAAGAAAAAAAAACACCAATGAATGATAAATAAAATTTATCGCATCATAGATTCAACATTGTGATTTATTTTTGGTAATCGAGTCCAAAATGAATGTTGTTCATAAAATTCAATAACAAGTCTGGGACATTTAACATTAACAATTCGTGCTGGAACAAGATCAGCTTCATCGGAATGACGCCATTTTACTAATAACATAAGTTCACCAGCAGAATCAGTTGCACCTAAAATTTTTTCAGCTTCAAATCCTCGATCAAAACCATTTGATGTATTTAATGATTGTAAACCACTAGTTCCTAATGAACGTTTTTTCATTGTATTATTTATGACGTCATCCTAAAAATATATACAATTAATCTATGAATTTCTTTTCTTTTGTGTGAGTGGGTGTTATATGTTATAATACATTTCTATGTGTATTTGATGATAATGTATTGATTGTAGATCGTAATCCAGAATTAAGTATTTTTTGTTGTTGTTGTTTATTGTGTGTTTCGTATTCAGCAAGTAATTCTGACTCTTGTTCACCTTCGACATTACTCGCTAAAAAAATGTAATTATAAAGTAATGACAAATCAAAGAAAGATAAATTTCATTGAATAGAAAGAAAATTTTCACAGACTAAATATTTATTTCTACGAATTATAGAAAATACAAATGAATCTTCATTTCTCAGAACTGCCAATTTTTATTTTCCTTTTTAGTAAAAATCTAACTGTGTAAGTGATATTTTAATAATTTTTAAAATTTTCAATTGTAAAATTCTCACCTAATGACTTATTGTATAAATATTCTTAATAAATGTTCGATTACTTACAAGGTTCCCATGTATTTTGACTTTCTGGATAACCTCGCCATTTAATGAGATATTCTATACGATCATTTCGATATCTTTTATCAACAATACGTTCAATTTCAAAACGTTCACTTTCACCAGTCATTTTTTACAATTTAAAAAAGACAGACAAGAAATATTAAAGCATTGAACTAAGGAGACAAAGAATGACGTATCAATAGAGAGATGTTCTATTGGACAAATGAACAATAGCCAATCGGAAGAATGCAAATGATAGAGGGATGTTAATATGGAATCAGAAAGCTTGATAGCACCGATTATAATTAACTTTGTTATTCCAGTATGAGTAGTACACCAACACCAGAGATGTCTGTCGTCATTAGAAACCTGCCGTTGTCCTAGAAGAGGCGAGGGCTACCACACCATGGTAGTTTAACCCTTTGACGGCGAAGTCCGTAAATTCACGATTTCAAAAAATTTGAATAGAGGAACGAAGCTGGAATGTAGTAAAACAGGTCTTTTCAATATTTGTGGTGTGTTGACATAGATGCCACTGATAACATCATTGCATCTTTAGATCAAGTTTAAGTGCAAGAATTATGATTGCTAATCATTTTCAAAGTATATCATGTTAACAATAGGATTTTACTTTATTTGTTCTAAAATTAAGTCCGCTGTCCAGTGGTCAAAAACAGTTTCGCTACCCCATCGCTGACGTCGTCGTCGCCATGGGTGCATGTGACCAGCATTATAAGCTATGACAAGTATTTCCTCAAAAAAAAAAAAAAGAATTGGACATGCAATCGGAACTTATTGCTTCCCGAAATATTCTATAGCTCGTGTATAAACTAAAATAAAACCACTTATCTCAACATACATATATCTAACATCTGGGTATTTGTAAAATACGCTCCAACCCACTCTGAGTTCCGTTTTACTTGGGACATAACTAGTTGATAGAACTTGAAATTTTGAGTCTGCGTACTGCGTTCTAATCCAAAATCTCAACAAAAAAAAAATTTGAAAAATGAAGTGAAATATAGTTCTGCTACATATTTTAAACTGATTCGACCCATAAGGTATTTACTATAATTTCATCTAACGTCATTTTTCCCAATATTTATTTGTTTGAGCTTTTGATTCAGAATCTCAAGCTCTATGGATTTGCATAAATCGTTAATAAAACAACGCTTAGAATGTGTTTTACTAATACACTTAAGATCTTGATAATGAATGATTGTTAAAAACGTCAAGCAACATTTATACATGACTACTAAGATGTAGGGATGCATATTGTTGATGTAAATATTAAACAATCCGTCATCGACATAGAATTCATTGGATCGTTGAGTACATTGACATTGGTATCTACTAAAACACTGACATCCACGTTTGCTGTAACATTGAGACGCCAACTGTATCAAAATATACTGCTTTTTGTAGCGGTCTGCACTAACTACATTGAGTCGATGAGTAAATTGAAACTGCACATCCCTATCAAGACGTAAGCACATTGATTAGTGTTCCGAAGCTTCCTAGATATCATGCCTTAGAGAGGATTAAGTTCAAGCAGAAAAAAGTCTTTTGCTGTCAAATCGCTTACTAAAAAAGGAGAACAGAATAACGTTAAAAGCGAGAAAGTAATGTTATGTACAATTGATGGTTATAAAACTAGATCCTATTCTAATTAACAGTCAGTTCTAGTACTGATATGCATAATATTCAGTATATAGAATCTAAAAATGTTTACACTTGTCGAAGTATGTATTCCATTTTCTTGATTTTCTAGCATTTTTCTGTTCTAAATAAAACTTGAAATAAGTTTCATATTTTTCAAAAGAATAATTCTAAAATTTGCTCGACACTATAATAAATTATTTTCATTGATATGATTCATTAATTCGATTTGTTAAACAAAAGTTCTATTGAATAATTAATAGCATACGAGAGAATTTTCCTATTTGAATTAAAGTAAAATTTATCTTATTGGTTAAAAATATAAATTTAGTAATTTAAATTTGGCGCTTAAAAACAGATCAATAAAATGAATATCAATCAGAAATCACAATGGAATACTTCTGCTATTCATACTAATTCATTCGAACATCACGATGATCATCTTCCGTCTACAGTTAAAGTATACATTTTCTTTTTCTTTTTTTTTTGTTATTATTTATAATTATCATTGAACTATCTCATATATAGTCTAACGAAACCTTTTCTGATAAACCATACAAAGCTTTACAAACATTACGTAGTGCTCAAATTGGTGTTCGTTTACCAAATAAAATATTTATTCATGCTATTGATCAATTTCTTAAATATATACGAAATGAAACAAATAAAGTTTGATTTTTCAATTTTTAATGGATTC